TTTCTAGAATTTAAAAAAAATCTCTGAGTAAAGTTTTTTAGTTGCTGGTGAACACTGATTACACTAAAGGAGAGCATCAGGACTTATAGATATGGAATTAAGCTTTTACTGGACGTGATTGTTTTTCAGTGGCAAGCTTGTCAAGTCTTTCATGTAATGTGTTGATTACAGGTGACTCTCCTTTCCAGATCCGGATCCATCAAAGCCTCATACTCCACAAATAACATCTGTGCTGATTATCTGGCAATGAGAAAGAGGCTACTGCTTCGCCGGTCCTAGTGCAGCATCTCCAATCACCATTCAATACACTTTGCCACAAGATGCGCAAATTACTCTATTGTTTCTTGTGAGTATAAAATGGTCGTGGTGGTGGTGGTGGTGGGATTTCCAATGATGGTGGGGGGCCTTTATAATCGTTAGCCCAGTGGTTAGGGTACTTATCTGGCATGTAGGAGACCCCAGTTCAATTCCCCCCATACCTGCTGAGGAGAAGGGATTTGAACAGAAGTTCCCCCCCCACCCCACCCCACCTCGCCTCACATGTTTGCCCGAACATCCCCTCTTCCCTAGGCATTTTGTGTGGAGTTAGTCAGCCTCTGAGCACACCTGCTGGATTAGGCCCTGCATGCAAGTCAGGCAGAGGAGCGACTGTCTTCCCCTGGGTTGTGGATCGCAGGCGGGAGAGAGGTGTCTGGATGCCTAGAGGGAGGCAGCAGTGTGCATGCCCAGAGAGGAACTTTTACAGTAAAAGCTTAGGCACCAAGGAAGTTTGGATGCCTTCAGGTTTAGGTGGCAGCCAAGTGGGGCTTTGTGGATCTCAGTGGCCTAAATCTGGGGTGAAGTGCCTAAGTCCCTTTGCAGATCTGGTCTAGAGATTATACTTGTCTGTTTCCCCCCCACCCGCCTTTGTAATATGGTATCCTGCCCCTTTAAATGCCTGGGGCCAGTCAGAGCTGTTTGTTAACTCCGCCCTGCTCCACCTGTGCGGGCTCTGGGACTTAAAAGGAGGAAAGAATCATGTGCTGGCTGGAAAGGAGACCCTGAGGCTTGTGGCAAACTCCAGGTAGGAAGGCCTGGGAGTGGCTGCTCAGGAAAGTGCAGGGAGTCTCACCTAAAGGAGCCTAGGAGGGGCTGAAGAGAGAGCTGGAAAGGAGCCTGGGAAGGGGGAAAGTAGAGCCTGCGAGCGGGGTAGGGGGGAGGCGAAGAGTGTCTGAAATTAGAGGAGAGAAACCCCTCCGGAAGGAGGGTCTGGGCCTAGCTGGAGACTGGGAAAAAGCTTGGCTGGAAGGCCTGTCATATTCACAGCAGTGAGCTACCAAAGCAACCGGAAGGCATTGCCGGCTGTGTGGGGCCAGTGCTCAGGGACGGTGCGTTTTGTAACCCCTTGCTGCTTCTTTTCTTTGTAACTTACATGTCTGTCTAGTTTTCAGACTACTGACCAATTCTGCAAAGGCACGGCTGGGGATTCAGTCTGGGAGTTCCAGTGGGGCCAAGTGAGTTAGGCACCCAACCCCCATCAAAGTCTGACCTCTGAACCCCCCCTGGGTTTGTAGGCAGAGGTTGGGCTTTGAAGATTGCTGATTTATACAGCAAATGCCTATTCTACTGTAACTGTCTCCTCCCATCTCTGACCGCTCCTGCTCCCCTACGTACTTGCACACCCACCTACCCCTTCAGTCTGGGTTTCATTCACCTATTATATCTCAACATCCCAGGCTGGTGAGCTTGTTGATACAAGGATTCTTTGATGTACTAATTTTGTACAGCACCTAGCACATCAGGGATTCTATCTTTGATTGGGAATCCTGCTGCACTGTAAATAACAATGTAAGTCAAGCTAACACAACATGGCTTTTTGACCCCATATAGAGGTATATGAGTCTGTTATTGGCTTTGAACTCTGGTCCTTTAGCTCAAGCAGTAGATGTGGTTAGATGTTGATAGATGTTTGGCTGCATGTGTGTGTGTGTTCCCTCTGTATGCCGCCTCACCCCTGCGCAGACAGCTGGTACGGCAGACCTTGAGCAAACCACCCAATGACTACAAGATCCGTTAAGGGACGAAGGCACCCAGCCA